CAGCCTCGGCCCGGCCTCTTCTCGCACTTGGAGGACCAGCCGGGCTGCGGAGGGTCCTGCCCGGCTCTTGCTCGCCCGTGACTGGACCCGGCCTTCTCGGAGCTCTCCCGCCTTCCAGGGACAGCCGGCCTCGGGGTCTCCTCCCGCGGTGCTGTGCGGGTGGCAGGGCCCAGGGTCCCCCGTGTGTGGCCGGCTCTGCTGTGCCCCGGCCGGGCTCCCTCCACAGCAGCACACGGCCCCGCCACGTACACACGCCACGAGCACACGGGTGTCACGGGCAGGCGGCTGGATGGGGGCCGCGGGGAGACGGGTTCACTCGCACCAAGAAGGGCCTGGCGCAGGCTCCTCGGCCTGCGCATGCAGTTGGCGTTCCCTGCCTGCCCGCCTTGTGCGTTTGCCACCAACGTTCCCGTTCCTGCCCTGAGGGCCGCACTGACCCGGCCCTGAGGTTCTTCCCCCGTGTGGCTCTGCCGCTGCTCCCACAGACTCCTCCACAGACTTCCCGCGGGCGGAGACGGAGGGAGCCGGGCAGATGCCGCGGGGTCCGGGCAGGCTCCTGAGGACCCGGGGCTGCGGCTGGACCCCCAGACGGACTCCGGAGAGTGCGTGTTCTCGGGGTGCAGCCTCAGGAGGGACAGAACGGGGAACACGGCTCCCTCAGGTCCCGGAGCAGGAGGAGTCCCACCGCAGACACGGCGGCGTGCTGGCCTCCACGAGCACACTTGCTGCCCACGCCTGGGAGCGGCGAGTCGTGGGGAGCAGTGAGCCCGCCCTCGCCTCGCCAGCCCCCTGGGGCACCGCAGTAGGTGGGCGCGGTCCACTGCCCTTGGCGTCGCGGACAGGCAGGGGCTTTGGGGTCTGCAGAACCGCGGCTGAGCCCAACTCCACTCTGACTGCAGTTACCCTGGAAAAGGAGCTCGCGTGCTCTGCGCCTCGAGTCCCCGCGGCTGCGAATTGCAGACAACAGCGTCTTCCTCAGAGAGTCTGGCGGAATTCAGACAGACGGGAGAAGGGCCCAGCGCAAAACGCTCCTGGGGAGGCTGGCGGCCTTTCCTCCCTCCCTCGGCCCCTCCCCAGGAGGATGGGGAGAGTGGGGAGAGGGTCCGGGACAGTAGTCTGGCCCCGGCACGGAGCTGGAGGTGTCGGCACAGAGGAAGAGCTGCATTTGCCCGCCAAGGTCTGGAAGAGTTTGCTCAGCTTTTCTCGCTTCTCTCATTTTCGTGCAATACGCGTGTGCTACACAGCGTGGGCTTTGTTTCGTGTCCAGTTTGAAAGTCTCTTCCTTTTAATAGGCAAGTTGGGACCACTCACGTCTGTGGTTATGATGGACCCATTTGGACTCCATCCTGTTTTACTATCCGTGTTATGCTGTCGGGTTTTATATTAATATTTCCAGAAACGTTTCCCGTCTCGCCGTGGTCTGTGCTGCTTCCTGTGTGCAGGGGGCGCCTTCCTGACTGAGACTTTCCCCAACAGCCTCGGCCCCCTTCGGACCACACGCTTCGCTCCTTCACCTGTGCCAGGATGAAATTGGCTGGACTCCCGCCCCTCCCGGGCCCTCTGTCTCCACCGTCCCACGGTGCGGGCGGCACCGTCGTTCTCCCAGGGTTTGTCCGGACCGTCTGACGCGCTCGGTCGGGCTCCGTGACGTCCCCCGCGGCCAGCGGCGAGGAGTGGGCAGAATTCAGACGAGCTCGAGCCCAGGTGCGCCTCCCGCTCCGATTCCTGCTGACCGTACAGCGTCACGAACGCAGGCTGAGGGTTCTCAGCACGCACCTTTGGTTCTCGGCCCTGGCTTAGGGGCACCTGATACGCCGTCCTGGTGGCCGAGGCTCTCCTGTGGCAGCTTCGTCACGAGGGTGTGGACACTGGAACGTCCGGAACCGTTTCTCAGCGGCCTTCGTCACTGAAGGGCAGGTCAGCTGCGCACAGACGCTGGGTCGCCTGCCGCTCTTCCCTCCGGCGTGTCCCGTGGGCTGTTTTACCACTTCCCGGTAAGAAACGGGACCAGTCTGTCTCCCCCGACGACTGGCTATTTGTGAATGCTGCCCAAATCAGCCCCTCCAAAATTAGTTACCCAAGTAATAGGATAGGACGAGTGTTTTAAAGTATAATTAAAAACTCCATCCCAAAATAACACGAGACTGTGTATCGCGGCACCGAGAGCCAGAGACGCTGGCCCAGAGGGCGGCCCGGGACGAGAGCTGGGGTGCGCTGGGCCCCGTCTGCCGGGGACCATGGGATGAGATGCGTCCCCTCTCCCCGCTGCGGCTGCGCCCTTCCCCGCGGCTCTGCGAGGTCCCCACCTCCGCTCTGGGAAGCGTCTCCTCTCTCCCAGCTCCCATCCCGTCTTCCCCATCCGTTTTTCCTCCTGCTCTTGCTACTTGTCAGGTAAAGGGTTTTGTTTTCAGTTTCCT